CACACACACACACACACACACACACACACACACACACACACACACACACACACACTTACCTGCACTCACCTCAAGTCGTTCAACAACGGGCTCGCTTTTGTACCTGCAAAAAATAAAGGATTAAATAAACAAGGAACACATAACAATATTGCACTTGTAGCGTAATAAGACATTTATAACTTATACAAACCTTGACTGTTTTATATACAAGTGCTATATATATACCTCCAAAGATGTACAGGACCCCCAAAAAACAGACCGTCGTCGAAGGCGAAACTCAAAAGTCACCACCAAAAACAGTCACCCTGACCTCAAACGTGAGGAGGAGCATAGGGGAATGGGAGGCAGCGGGGTCGGATAAACCCGCCACATCTCCTAAGACATCTCCTTTGACGACTAGGACGACGCAGGCTGGCCCTGCGAAAGAAAAGCCAAGACTCGTACTGTCACAGGATACTGCGAGCTCGAGACTGTCCCCGGCTGGCCCTCGGAGCTCGCCAAAAACTGTATACCCGAATCGTACAGCAGAAGCGAGATCCTGCCTCATCAAAGCCAAACAACACCTTACAAACTCACGTAATCTCAAAACCGATATAAAAAATGGCGTGGTGGAGGCAATCAACAGACTTTACTCCCTGGTGAAAGAGCTGGAAGCCGAACAGAAGGAAAAGGGTGCAGAAAAAGGGGGAAAGGAAAAACAGAGTGGGGAGGGAGGAGAAGACGTAAGCTTTGACCACCACCAGAGGGCACTCCAAACCCATATGACTGAGCACATAAAAAAGCTAGAAGAGAGCTCTAAGAAAATGGAAGAACTGACACAGGCACTGGAATCGCAGCGGAAAACTATGGAGAATGTAACATACGCTAGAGTGGCAGTGGGTAACGGCGCGAGGCAAACAGCCGGGAACCGAGGCTCGCTCCACTCAGTAGTGGTAACATCAACGGACGAGACGGTGACCGGGGAAGAGGTACTGGAGGAAATAAGGAAAGCAGCGAACGCCAAAGAGGGTTGGATCACTGTGGAAAAGGTCAGGAAAGCCAAAGATCGCAAAGTCATAATGGGCTTTAGAACGAGAGAGGAACAGGCGAAAATGAAAAGTAGAATAGAGCAGTCGGGAAGTCACCTCACAGTGGAGGCCGTGAAAAACAAGGATCCACTTCTGATGCTGAGGGACGTCCTGTCAGTACACAAGGACGACGAAATTCTGAGAGCATTCAGGAATCAGAACCCGAACTTTTTCCGCGGCCTCGATGGTGGAGATGACCGGCTGGAGATAAAGTTCAGGAAGAACGCCCGAAATCCCCACACAAACCACATCGTGTTGGCAACCTCCCCCGCGCTTTGGTCAAGAGCTATAGAGACCGGAACGGCCCACATTGACCTCCAGCGGATTCGAGTGATGGACCAGTCTCCACTGATACAGTGCTCGCGATGCCTGGGGTACGGCCACAATAAGAGATTGTGCAAGGAGACGACTGATATCTGTAGTCACTGCGGTGGCCCCCACTTGAGGAGCGCTTGCGAGCTA